AATAATTAATTAAATATAAATTAAATTTTATTTTTTCATTAATAATTATTGTGAAAAAGGTGTTCATAAAAAACCCCTTTTAATAAATGAAATAAAACTTATTTGGGCTTAGAATAAAGGTTAAATGTCAATTTTGATCCCTCAACAACTTAAAGTTTTGTATAATTTTCATCTCTTAATTTTTTTTATATTTTTTTAGTTCCTTAACTATGAAAAATGTATTTTTTTAGTTTCTCTATCAATTAATCCGTTAAATCTATTTAAATATGTATATTTTTTGTACCTCAACTTAAAGTTAAAGGATAAAAAATGTGTATATATTAGAAATTGAGAGATTAAAAATGTGTAAATTCAAATATATTTAATGGATTAATTGATGAAAAACTAAAAAAAAAGTACATTTTTCATAGTTAAGAAATAAAAAAATATAAAAAAAATTAAAAGATAAAAATTATGCAAGATTTTTAAATTAAAAAATCAAAATTAATATTTAACCTAAAATAAAAGGAAAATCAAGGATACTGTCATTAGTCCACCACAGGCACGGAGTGACGGACACAGTATAAGGCAAATTTTGATTTTTCATATTTTATTTATAGAAAATTTTGTTTTTCAAAGTGTGAATTGTCGGGACTAGCAGACGGCAGTATATTGAACATTGAGAAAATTGTTAACGTACATAACTTGCCACGTATTATTAGACAAAATTAGCATAATTGATCACATATTCACAGAGATATTATACCTAGCAAACAAATCAGACTGCTTTGGATTAGGTGGTTTCGAGTATTTGATTTATTAGGTTGAGTCATTTTGACATTATGAGCTTGACCCTTACAACTGACATATTTTTTTCATTTTTTTTTTTAAAATTTTTGCTTTGTTTTACACTACTTTGTACAAATTTTTATATTAAACTTTTCAACTTACCTTAAATTCTCAATTAAGTTTTTAAATTGTTATTGAAATAAATAAACCTTTGAATTTAGTGATTTGAGTAATTTAACATATTTTCTTTACTATGAGCTTAATATATGTTTGTGCATCATATGTGTGGATAAAATATTGATATATTATCACTTACATGATAAGTATTGATTCTATTCACGTAAATAAAACACACAAATGAGTTAAATCTAACATAGAAAAAAAGAATTAAATTGACTAAATTGTCAAGTTTAAGGATATATTTATTTTACTAAAAATTTTAAAACTTAATTAAAAATTTAGGATAAATTTGAAGTTTAACATAGGGTTTTGTCAACCTTTTTATCAAATATCAAAGTTGTTAAGGGTAACCCAAGAGTAGCCTGCATATCAGATGTCAAAGTTGTTTGGTGTATTCCATTTGAGTTGATTTATATGGTTAAGAAGCCATTTAAACCAAAATAATAATATGTATTTAAATCTATTCAGTATTATTTGAATATAAATAATTTTAATAAACTATATCTATCATTTTGTCCATGATGAGATTTGGAGAATTACTTATGAAATTAATTTAATCAAAATTTTACTTTATTTGTTTAATTTTAGTAAATTTAGTTTTTTATTTAAAATATTTAAATTTAATTATTAATTTTTAAAAAATATTATTTAATATATTTATTTTTATTTTATTCTCATTTTAAATAATATTTATAATATATATTAAATAAAAAATCTTATTTAAGAGATATTTAATAAGAACAAATATAAAATTTTATTAGTAAACTATTATCTATTCTATTAAAAAATTAAATTTATTAAAAATACATAGAGGGAGTAAACACCCTGTTTTTTGATTTGATATCAAAGCTACAGGACAAGATCTATTAAATAGAAAGATTGACAATTCTTAATTTATAAAACTGTTTTTTATCTAATAATTTATAATAAATTATACAATTTAACTTAATTCAATCTTCTTCTTTTTTTGAACAGAAAGAAATTTTCATGAAAAAAAAATAAAATCTGAAAATAAAACTTAAACCATTATTTCTAATCACATGCTGTAAAGGGTGACCACTAAGCCACCAACAGTTGGACTAACGTAATTCAATCTTTAAAATACTCTTTCGTAAAATAAAAAAAAAAATTTGTTTGCGGCCTTGAGTTTTATGATGGGTTTTGCTAATTTAAATTGGGGAATGTGATCCGTTTGTGGGCTTAGTCCAGTGTAGGTCTAGTTTATTTCTTGTTGGCCTAAACTATTAATTTATATCAATTAGACCTAACTTTTAACAAATGTGGGTTATCTTATTGAGCTAGAGTTAGAGCTAGGTTAATAAACGAAATAAAATTTATTTTTACTTAGAATAAAAGGAAAAATATGTCATTGGGCCGAGAGAGGTTTCCTTTTTTGATGGGGGCTGAGAAATAAGTTGATGATGCTAATGTTGATTGTAGGATCTGTGTTATTATGAGATAAAAGGAAAACAAGAGTCCTTATGCGATGAGGATTCCATGTGTAGTAAGAGAATTTACAATAGAGAGTTTCTTAATGTGAGTCTCTAAATGTAATCTTATTTTATAAGGAAAATTATAATTTAGTTACTTGTGGTTTAAGGTCGGTGTAGAGAAAAACTCAAAATTTTAAAATATGTATATAACATATTTGTGATTTGAGGTTGGTGCACGTAAAGGCCTAAGATTTCACAATGTGCAAATAAGGATCTAAAATTTGTATTAGATGGACATAACCACTTGAAATTACGTTAAATTTTCTTAAATACCTTTATTTTTCTTTTGTTTTCATTCTTTTAAATTAGAGGCTTTTAAGAAATTTCAAGTGATTATTTGCACCAAACACATATTTTATGTATTTATGTGCACATTTTGATATCTTGGATTTTTATTTGCACATACCCAAAACTACAAATATGTTATATGCATATTTTAAAACCTCAAGTCTTTAAGTGCACTCACCTCAAATTACAAGTAGCTAAATCACAATTTCTCCTATTTTATATATTATTTTATAAAAAAGTGTATATTAATTCTTATCTTAA